TATATATATATATATATACGATATATATATACGAGCTTGTTTCTTTTTTTCACAACTTGTTTTCATTAAATCATTATTGATTTGCTTGATGCATTCGCATTGTGATATAATAATAAATACAATGACTCAGTACTATCTAATTTATGATTTTCACAAGGAAATGTAAAATTGTAGTTTAATATATCATTAACAGTTAGTTCGTATACATCAATGTAATTTAGATTTTTTCTGAAAAAAGTTTCAACATTATAAAATAACATATATAATATTGTATTAGGATGTTTTAATCTTGTAAATGATTTTAGATTGACTAACTATGCATCTGCTATTGAACTTGTATGTTGTGTAAGTGATACTCGGCATAATTTATTTGTTTTAATATTTTCTTTGTTATAACCTTACATAATAAATAATACAATCCATTCTGGCATTTCATAATTTTCTTCTATGATATCGTCACATTCCCATTCAGATGTTTCAATGAACTCATCTAATTTATTTTTTAACAAATGTAAATGTCTTTTCTTATAAGATTCATCTTTGGAATTGAAACTAGTGTGAAATTCTCTTGTAATGAATGGTCTCATGATATCGATATTTTTATTATCAATACTACAATTGCCAAATTTTGGAAGTTTCACAATTTTGTATATTCGCAATTAATATAACAATACAAAAAGATATAGTAGATATACTAATAAGAGTCAGCAACGATAAATTATTTAGGCGCAATTATTTAGTGAACAATACTCAAATATTGGATTGATTTCTTCTTTATTTTGAAAGTTTCGACTCTCTTTGGAGTCTTCCTTAGTAAGAATAATACAAGTATAATTAGCTCACATGTCCATAATGCCTATTCACTCGCAAATTGATAAAGATGCAGTATTGTTAATCTGACATTTTTTTTTTAATAATTCTTATTATTATTAAATATATATGCATTCAAATGACTTACCATCACAAAAATGAAGCATTGCAATGAAACTTTGTTGAACATATTAAAATTTAAATAATAGAAATGTTAAAATCAAATATAAAGATCAGACATTTTTAGAACACATATCCGTGTACGACGTGTCACTCAGATGTGAACTATTCTCAAAGTAAGAGGTCACACAATAAACATTAAGAATTTGCAAATATGAAGAACAAAACATATGTATATAGTTAATATATACATTAATATATATATAGTTAATATATAGTTATTAAGTCAAACCGATAAGAAGCGCAATAAAATATTGTATAAGAATTAAAAATTATTAAAATTGTAAAATAAAGAATTACATAAATAAAAAGACAAAAAAGAAAAAATTCAATATAAAACTCGTTAAAATTGTTACATTTTCGTCAACCAATAAATTTTGTTGAAATAAATTAATAAACTATAAATTTAAGGTTTCTAACATCAATCAGGAGAAATTTTCAAGCATCGCTGCATAGGTATGTTGCAAACGTTCTATATCTGAACGTAAAAAGCATTCCTTTGCATGTGTATGAGTGCCGATTTCTGAAATCAATCTTTTGTTCAAAAATTTCTCCTTGTCTAAAATTTGGACGTTCTCCCAATTGAAGTCATGTGAAAATTCAATACGATGTTCAGTAATTACAGAGTGAGTGTTTCAATTTATATGTCTACGATGTTCAGATCTGCTGGAAAATTTCCTGCATGTTTGTCTCACATACGATACATCGCAATCTTTACAACAAATCTTATAGACTACATTTTTATTATCAAATTTTGGAAGAGCACCTTTTATGAATCTATTTAATTTGTTATCGCTGAAAAATGCTAATTTTATGTTGGTGTCTTTACAAATTGACGAAAATTTCTCTGATGTAGAATCAATATATGGTAACAAAAACCAAAATACATGATCACTAACCGTATCGTCATTTGGGACATTATTACTAAAAAAATTTTTATTAAATCAATATTTTAGACTATTGATTAGATTATTATTATATTTTAGATTATTGATCATGTCATGAAAACAAAATAAAGAAGACATCAATCCAATATCTGAATATTGATTGTTCACTAAATAATTGCGCTGTTTATCGTTGACTCTCATTAGCCTATTATATTTATCTTTTTGTATTGTTTAAAATTCGAGAGTTCTAATATAATTAATCGATATAACTATATCAATGTTGGGAATATGGGATGATCATTTTGACAATCAGTTTGTCGTAAAGTTCCAAAAAATTATTGCAAAAATGAAAATAATATAACTAAGATTATGAAATTTACAAAAAGTATTTTAATTATAAAATAACATATGTCTTAACAGATTTTTGTACCTCTAAACAATCTTGTATAATTTTTCTTGTTAGAATATATTTGAAACTAAACTTTTCAATTAAATCTTTTATTAATGATATGGTAGACATTAATATAATTCGCAAACCCTCTGTACTTTCTGTAATTAAAAATTGTTCTCTTGTTATTGTTCCATTGAACTGTTCTCTTGTTATTTTCCCATTCGTTTAACTTTATAAGAGATTGGTGAAGAACCTATAATGTAATATCATAAACATTTTGTATTGATTTATATTAGCCATTTAAAATTAATATTAGATAGAAATAATAAATGTACTTCAAAATCGTTACTAAACTCCTTCCTTTGGAAATCGTCGATTTAAAGCATCGAACATGTTTATCTGCAATGTAAATTCGATTGTTCCTTCACATTGCTGCAAAGCATTTATCTCTCAGTAAAATTTCAAGCCATTCGCAACACTTTTGCTAAATACCTATTTTTCCATGCAAATAAAATTCATACAGTCATGAAATAATTTTAAAAAAGGCATTAAAAATAATATACCTGAGTTGCTAAAGACACTCTCATTTTCATAGTGTTACTTGATTGAATATGATTAATAGTCAGTTTAGGAACAGTACGAAATTTTTCTTGGTCTTTAGAATTTTCCTGGTATAATAGTTTGTAATAAGTTTATAAATTTGCCCTTGAATTGAAACAATTATATAGGAATTATTACTGATCATAATATGATATAGAAAGTTTATAATAATATTGACATATCTGTTCAATGAATTCAGAATAAAGACGGCCTTAAATACTTTCCAATTAGCTTTAAGAAGAAAGTTTAATCTTCGAGGAGAATTTGTATTATACATAAATATGTTAATATTTAAGTTAAAATACAAGTGAAACGTCAAGCATAAAGAAAAATGCAAGAGGAATAATAAAAATTGCATATTGATCTATTTCTTTTTTTGTTTTCTTCATTACATTCAATAAATGCTTCCATAGATAAAAATTAGTTATATACAATTTACGACTTATTATAATTAAGAAATTAGCTAAAAAATATGATTTTCTATTATATTTATTATACTTATATTTTACTTTTTTTCTATTAAAAAATTGATGTTATTTTCTATTTATCTTCTTTCTGTTTGTTGATAATTACAAGAAGAATCATCTGAATATAATACATTCGTTATTTGCAATTATTAAAATCGCCTGTGCCTCAAAAATTATCTAATTAAAAAAAGAAATAAACAAAAATTAATATATTTCTTCAATAAAAGTAAAATATCATATCTGCATATATACATATTATTATACCTTACACGTAACCTATTTCAATCTATTTCTTATACATTTAATTAAATCAGGTGTATTTGAAATTATATGTATATTTCTGTTCAAATCGACAGGATTCTTAAAAAAATAGTTGGTATTTTAAATTTCCAGAAATGCCAAATTTGTCCCACATCTTTTTATTTGTAGTGGCACTATCGCAAATAATGCCATGAACACGAGCACTACTTTTTTCAGGAATATTATCGCTTGTAACATTAACTGAGTTAACACTCATCCTTTAGTAGCTCCTACATAATCAAAAATAGTAATTGGTTGTTAAACATTATGAGCAAGAGAAAAAAAAACAAGGGCATAATCAGCCATATTTTTTCTTTACACCTATGGGATGATTTTCGCTGATCAACCCATAAAATATTAAAATTTTCGCGTTAACAACAACACTTTTCCGTACCTGTATTTCATCAAGTACAAGAAGGCCATTCTTAGCAAGATCACTAAGTGAATGCAATTTATTTCGAAATAACTAAAAAAAATTGTGAACCAATTCAGTTTTCGTAATTATTTAATCAACAATAACGAGAGAATAAAGGGCACATAAGAGTTAAATATAAAAAAATATTTTAAAACATGAAAAATCAAAAACTATGTATAATATAACATTCTATAATTGATTAAAAATATAACATGTTTCGGTCTCGCGATTGAGCCTTCTTCAGATATGCATACAGGAGATGTTACATTGGATGAGAGCAGTCAAATAGATAAACAAAATTATACACATAGTGATGATGACCAGTGAAATGCTTTGCTGAGAAATGGAAATGACTCGCAAACGGCTGAACAACCGGTTGTTCTGGAGACACTGGTGTTTCGGCACTAAGGTACGCTGTGGCACTAAGTGACACTGCCTTGAAATTTTCCGGTGTTCTAGTAACAAGTCAAGTTAGAAATAAATTAAGAGAATAAAAAAATTCGAATAAAATCGTCACTCTAGTCAAAACAACTTACCTAGCCATAAAATAAAATTTCGCATGTTGAGAAGATGCTTGGCAATTTCTAAATTACTAAGCGTCAGTGTGTTAGTCTATAGTAAAATAATAAGTCACAATATAAAATTAAAGATGTATATAGATAATAAATATTGTATAAAAAGATATTAAAAATGAAACACTTGGCAAACATATATGTTACCATCACGACAGACGAACATTGACTAACGAATAATAGAATAATCTTGGTATTGCAATGTTAGATTTTGTTTAT